CAACAGGTCCATGTCTTTCCTGTGCGGAGGGCTCCAGAGCTGGACGCAGCACTGCAGGGGGGTCTCACCGGTGCAGAGTACAGGGGCATCCTGTGAAGCCTCTCACATTTGGGCGATGCTTGGCACACGAGCAACCAAACAAGGTTGTTCTGGTTCTCTTGCTTTTAGGACTATCTCTGACTGCATGGGGTCCATGCCTCTCTGAATGAGGAGTTTGCTCATCAGGCTGTGCACAGCAGGAGTAGCCCACACTGTTACCTGCACAGAGCTCAAGGCAGAGCTAAGCTTACTGTTCATTTTGCTTGAACCAATGCATTGTCCAACCCCATTGTCTTCTGTTCCCATAGGGAAGTCAACGCCTTCCACTGTCTGACAGAGCTGGGGTTGTGCACCAAGCAGAGCTATTTCTATGCTTTGCCTTGAATAACCATTGCCTCTGGGGTTGTCTTTTCACAGCTATCCAGGGCAGAGCAAGTTGTCCCAAAGTGCTCTGCAAACCAGACATGGCAAATACTTCAGCAAAGACTGAAAATGCACATGGCCCTGGGACAGCAAATAGCTGCTCGCCTCCTAGGGCACGTAACACCAGCCAGCTGGGAGCCAAATGTGCAGAGCAGTGCACACATACTAGAGTGTATGCTGAGTTTTAGAACAGACAATGATTTGACCAAGCCATCAAGAAGTCCTTGCAAAAAACTCTCAAATCTGAAAACTCCCAAACTTCTGTAGGGAAAAATTAAGATTAGTGCAAACTAGAAGCCAAAGCCATCGTAATGGCTTTGTAACAAGTCTGTATAATTTATACCTTTACGAGATAGTAGCACATTTCTTCTAAGGCCAGTGGAGAGCTGCGGGTTCAGGACAGAGGAGCTCTAACTGTGTGTGATAGCACCTGGACTTTCTTTGCAAGGCCTCTCCTTTAGCTATTGCTTGATCCAGCCACTTAAACCAAGCCTTAACACCAAACGCCATTTTAAAAATGAGCATGAAAATAAAACTAGCCTGGCAGCACACAGTTGTGTCCCAGAATGCAGTCGGAGCCAGGCTGTGCACAGGCTTCGCCGTGCATGTGCATGGGAAGCTGCAGGTTGTGCAGGCTGCCGGGCTAGTAGGAGCTGCCTGCTTTGCTCTGCAGCTCTCTTGGGGCTGGCTGGGCCAGTCTTGTGGAGGCAGAAGCAGCGGCAGAGCAAGCAAAGGCCTGCCAGGGAAGTGTGAAAATTGCAGGAGAGCAGGCACACAGAAGACAGCCACTGTCCCTTCGAACAGTCTCCTGGCCAGCACACAGCATGGAAGCTGCTGAAAGCCACTGGCAGGGTGGCCTTTGGTTTGGAGTGCTTGCATGCTTTTACTGAAGTACCTTAAAACTGCACAATGAACAGGTCTCTGTTAAAGCTGCAAGCGTGCCGTCAGATCAGGGAGCACTGAAACTTCATGAACTAAAGCACTGGTGCAAATTGAAAGGCACATGGATGAAGAACAAGCACAGCCTGCAGGAAGCCGTCACCCCTGCAACCATCAAATGTACCAGTTGCTAGCAAGCAAAACGATCCATCTGGCAACATCTCACATCATAAATCCTACAGGAAAGGATTCTGGAGCAAGCCTTCCCACAGTAAGGGAGGAGCAGAGAGGGAGAAATAAAAACAGAGCCCAGAAACCTCCCCATAGAAAACACCTCAGATAAAAAGGTACCCTTTCCACTAGAAAAGGTGGGCAGGAGGATGCAGTGCTGTGTGATGCTATGATGCCAGAGTGGATTACAGTGCTGACCAGCTTGCATGGGATTTTCATCCCATATAAGCAATTTTGTTCCTTTTAAACAAATAAAAAAGAGACTGACATGAATGAGGCTTGGGACATGCATATTGTGCACTTCTAGAAAGAGAGCTGTCAACAGAGCTATGCCTGTCAGAAAAATACATGGTTGACCAGTTCTCCTAGAAGCATCTTGTTAATGTTGTTATCTTTTAAATACTGTTTTCTGCAAGTACCGTGCCTTTTCTCCCAAAAAAGCACGAAGTGTTTTAAAACTAAATCACAGAATCATATTACTATGGTCCATTTGTCAGCAGCAGAGATGTAGCAAAGGCTACAGAAAGAGACAGTCAGCCCAGTTCCCTGTTGAGAAGAGAGTGTCATGAAATACAGGCCATTATAAGACTGTAAGCTGAGCAGTACTGGTCAAACCAAAGCCGTCTTGCCTCTGACAGAGGCCAATAGGCAATGAAGGAAGAAGATCAGCACAAGCATGCAATGATGATTTTCTTCTGGCCATCTAGGATGAGCAACTCAAAGACAACCTAAGTCAGCCGCAGTGTCTTTACATTTAATAGCCTTTATGGATTTCTCTTCCACGAACATGTCTAGTTGCCGTTTGAACAAATCTAATCTTGTAGCATCCACAATATTTGTGACAAGAGCTCCAGTGTTATGTACACAGTGTGCAAAGACACACCTTTGGAAGAAGG